AAACAGATGGATGGAAAATTGAGAGATTATGAAAATTGAACTGATTTCATGGTCATTTATTGCCAAAGGTGTCTGCAGGTTCAGCCCCACTCCTTTTCAAATTATCATCATTCTCAAACTTAAAGCAGTCAACATTTTTGTTGTCACAGATTAATGATGGAAACTAAACCATGCTGGAAATTGCATCAATGTCTTTGCTTCCATTAAAATGTGTTAATTTATTGCTGCCCATTCTCAATTTCAACAAACTTCAGGTCCAAAACTGTGCATCCATATCCTCATCCACAACAAGTCAGACCTGTTATTTTGCCTGTCCTCTAACTGGCATTCTGTCTCCAACATTTCAAATTTATATGTTAGGATGGTGATTAAAATCTTGCTCAGGAAAAGGTTTTAAGGCGACACCTAACGGTGGAAAGGCCTAGGGAGGGAATACCAGAGTTTACAGGTGCCAATTCAGGGCAGAATGCAAAACAGTGAGGAGAGACACTTAAATATTGATGTTTACTGTAATATAAACGAGCAAATAATGTAATTGAAAATAAGTATCATAATGATTTTTGATTATAGCATTAGATTGCTCACCCTTTGCACATTAATAAAATTGTTTATCATAACTCTGGAAGGTACTATTGTGGACAACATTCAATGATTTGAAATATACACCTTCATAACCTTTCACTCACATGGAAGGACATTAAGGAAGTTTAGGCAAGTAATATCATGCTTCATTTAAGGTACTCTCTATGTTTTATCATGCTTAACTAAACTTAAAACAAGGTTTACTTGCATTTCACTATTAGACAATAATCTACCATTAAAGTATTTTACCACCTACTTGTCTACAATATAAATATATCACATATTAAAAAATGCAAAATGAATTCCTGTACAATGGGGGAAAAGTGAAAACTTGTACCTGCAATACCCATTGCATTTACTTCTACAAAAATAATTAATGCAAAGAAAATTACATTACTGGCTACTTTTGAACTGCTCAGGCAGATTTTGTGCTGCACTTGCTGTAAAGTGCAGTTGTGGCAGCAATTAAGAACTTCAGTTTCATCAAAGTGAAAATAGGAGCCTTGCTGCATTGCAGGATAACCTCAAACCACATCTGGGCACACACCAAGAGCAGCATTTCAAACCAGCTGCTTTGCAAAATAAAAGCCTTACCCACTGACTACCATCTTATTGATTATCCTCTGAATCGCCCTTTCAACGGTATTGGTATTGTAGCCACTGCCCTAATCCCTGCTCCCACCCAAGTAAGCATTAATGTGTTGACTGCATGGACTGCAGTAGTTCAAGAAAGCACTGACCACTGTCTTTTCAAGGACAATTAGAAATGGGCAACAAATGCTGGTCTAGCCAGTTACGCCAATGTCCCATGAAAGAACAGCCATCAATTTGAGCTGATCTGAGTAATTATATTTTTCACAATTGTTTTGCCCTCTTTCTTTCCTCTTGTCAGCAGCCTGTTATTCTTCTGGTTTCACCATCTCTCCTGAGACACCAACATAACTGATTGACATTTTGACCTAGCTAAACCTGGATACTGCACTCCCAATGTGCAATGCTGCAAGATATAAACTAGACATGAAATAATCTGAAGGAGCACTCCATGGAATGATTACCAAACCTACTGTCTAAAAAATGTGAAATTATATGCTTGTTATCTTATTCTTTTACTAGACAAATAGCCACTTCATATTTTTGGTGTCACTGTGACTGAGAGCACTCATCTCAGAAGATTTGGTTTGGAGCCACACTCTGCAGACGAGAGCTGGTAATTCCAGTAAATGCAGTTCTAGGTGAATGCTCTGCTCTTTCAGGGAGATGGAAATTATTTCATAACATTATTTCAAACATGCAATAGGAATTTTCCTGATCCTTTTCCCGCAACCAATGTAATCAAAACAGATTATCTAGTCATTATGTCATTATTTTGTGCGTTCAAATTGACTGCAATGTTTCCTATTTAAGCTTTAAAAAGTACTTCACTAGTTTTAAAACCATTTGTAATGCCCCAATGTCATGAAAGATGTTTTATAAATGCAAGTCTTTTTCTTATTGGTCTAACTGTGGTCATTTTTTTTTCTGGAGCAATAAAATAGGAGCATAAAGTAGTTTTTAAATGAAATCTCTCACCCCTCAGGTATTGCCCACTTAGTAAGACTGCTTCAAGAATTTTCCTTAGATGAAATGTAGCAATATTGAAGCAACTTGGAGGTAAGCGCATTGCTATAATATTTTGACCAGGATTCTTTGGTGGTAATTATAACAAAATTGCCAGCGTTTGCCATCATTACTCTAAGGACAGTAATTTCTGGAGCTTACATTTGAATAACAGAAACGCAAAATTTGTATCATTGAAGCTGTGCTGCTCCAGGCTACAATCAATGGCATATCTTATGAATTGATGAAAACTTTCTCTTATGCTGTTAGTCTTGAGAAAGTGACGGCTTAGTGATATTATCACTAGACTATTAATCCAGAAATTCAACTAGTGTTCTGGGGATCCGAGTTCAAATCTGGCCATGGCAGATGGTGGAATTTGAATTCAATAAAGAATCTGAAATTAGTGTCTAATCATGACCGTTGAACCATTGTCAGGGAAAGAAAAACGCCAGCTGATTCACTAATGGCCTTTTATGGAAGGAAATCTGTCATCCATACCTGGTCTGCCCTATATGTGACTCCCTACAGCAACATGGATGACTCTTAACTGCCCTCTGGGCAATTATGGGTAGGCAATAAATGCTGGCCTAGCCAGAGGCACCCAGATCTCATGAGTAAACAAAAAAAACTTGAAAGTTATTGCAGACAATTTTGTTGTCAATACAGTAAATACTACGTCTTTTTTATTTTTCTGCATTTTGATTGTGGACTGAAATGAGAAAAAAAACCATATTAAAAACCAGAGATTGGTGAAGGATTATGGTATGTTTTTGAAAGCATATTTAAGCACTGTCTACATAGCTACTTGTTCAAGCAGTGGTTGGAGAAGGTGCAGACAAGCCGGAGCAAATGTAAAGCTGAATGGAGATTCAGCTAGCAACGAGTAGCTGATTGATCTTTGAACTAGTGACCAGTTATCAATAGCAAATGCTCTCTGCCTGTTAACAACTGTGACTGGCTCTTTGGTAACTTAATAGCTTGTGGCTGTGTACAATGTAGGGATAAACAATCGATCAGACCTTCACCAGCTCAGGACCTCTCTATGTTCTCTGTAGCAAAAGTCACTTGACCTTGAAGAAAATCATTTTGTGTAAACTGAGATTATTAACTGAGAATAAGTCAGAGACCTTTTTTTAAGTGTGAGCTAGTCATCCTACACCTTCTGCAAACCAGTGAAAGCATTTTTAAAATTCAATAACAGGATGAGGGCGTCGCTGGCTAGGCAGCATTTATTGTCCATCCCTGCCCAGAGGCCAGTTCAGAGTCAACCACATTGCTATGAGTCTGGAGTCACATGTAGGTCAGACCAGCTATGGCTGGCAGTTTCCTTCCCTAAAGGACATTAGTGAACCAGATGGATTTTTCTGACAATTGAAAATGGATTCATGGTCATCATTATATTCTTAATTCCAGATATTGTATTGCATTCAAATTCCACCATCTACTGTGGCGGGATTTGAACCCGGGTCACCAGAACATTATCTGGGTCTCTGGATTTACAGTCCAGCAATAATACCACTAGGCCATTGCCTCTAGGGAAGGATGACCTACATGCAGCCTTCTGATCAGCACACGAACCATCTCAACAGATCCTATGAACACAGACCATGGAACTGCTTTCCCAATTTTCTCTCTGTCCACAACATCCTTTTTTTGCCCCTGTGTATATATAAAAGGGGGGGGGAGGGGTTATAAGGGTTTTGCCTATTTGAGTTATATGCCAATGATTCATAAATGTTGAACTGTAACTACAGTCTATTTATTTTTAACAAATAGTAAATTTGTTAAGTTCAGAAACCTGGCTGTTACAACAGGTAAATCAGAGAATTTTTCACACTTGTACAAAATCTTTAACTTTTGCAAAGACTCTGAGAATAGTGGGGCTTTATTTCTACCAGATTACCCCATGGGGTACAACATTACCACAGCATGTAGGTCACAATGCTGAATCTATATACTGATCTTGCTGCGCTTCTCTTTTGACTTCTTAAAAAATGTAAGCATTTTCACTTGTTGAATAAAGTGCAACCAGAATTCTAACGACATACTAACATCAACATTGCTGCTAAACACCCTCGCTGGCCCAGGGAAGCTAATTTTATTTTTGTGGATGCCAAAATTGTTCGCAATAAGACTTTCACATTTTTAATAAGTTTGTTTTTGAAAACTATTTATCTTCATTACAACTATCTAAATCCATTTAATCATTTATTTCACTATCTGAAAATTTAGTTGATTTTTAATTCTTGCTTTGTGTTATGAATACTTAAAGGTGTTTGCTTCCTTACCTACTTGCTTATATTATTGCTGCTGCACACTAATACATTCCCTTGGTATTAGAAATAGGAAAATCAAAGATCACTAGATCCTTTTGGGCAGCTTTCTTTGAGGTCAGTGGCTAGGTTTTATGGTCAGTGAAAAAGATATGTCACCCAGTGCCAAGTATTATCCTCGCAAATTTATTTACCATAAGCTTTTCCAATGGAAGCTCCAAATGTTGCAGCTTCCTCTGTAGCAAATCCAAGACCTCTGTGAATGGCACAAACAACTTTGCATTTCCTTCACCAGACTGAAGAATCATTAGTGGACATCACAGAATCTGAATCGTGAGTTCAAAGTTAGACAAGTGTATTCAACGTCAAAACAGGCAGAAAGTTACTTCAAAAAGATATTGTATAAAAATAACTACTCAGTTCAAAAGCAAAACCAACCTTACTGTTCGTACCAATTTTTAATTGCACAAAGTAGATATTGCCAGTATTATTAATCAAATTAATATCCCCCTTTATATTTGTAAAGAAAGAACACACATTACTGAATTAGATCAATGATTGAGATTTATTTATTGCTGCCTACACCAGAGAAGAGCAGAATGAGGGGTAATGTAAACAAGATTTTATTGTGCATATATTTAACATTTTATGGTTGCATGGTAGAGGTTCCATCCACCACTGCTTTTACAATTTTTGCTCATGAGCATATCAGAGTTGATCCATTACATATACAAATTTATTTACACAAATATAATTTGATGCACGATTGATGGCACAGTAAGCTACATTACATAAAAGTAGAATGTGTAATGACACATCAAAATCAGACATAAAATCCATTAGATTAGCTTGCTGCAAGACATTTGAGTAATAATCTGAGCTATCAATAGAAAACTTGTCAATTTTGGAAAGTAAGCCAAAAGTACAATCTACAGATACTTCAAGCTTTTTGCTCCCACTGCACTCAAAATTTCTTTTTATCAGTTTATTTTTTATTATCTTGCCTAGCTGCTGGAATTTAGTTTCACGAAAGATCTTGAAGGAAATGTGGTAACAAAATTTGAGTCATGGAATCAATTTTACTTCTGAACAGTGGGTTTCAAAAAATCTGTCGTGTATGAAAATCGGTTTATGTTATTTTAATGTGTGAGGTAAGCATTTTCTGGTAAAGGATTTTCTCCACCACTGTGCCTTAACTCGTTATCTTTACACTTGTCATGAAATCTGCACCATTTTCTAGTGTCAAACAGATCCACAATTCCATTGCTGTTCAGCTACTTCACATTATATTCATTTCAGAATTATTTTATTCACTTCCACTGCAGTCAGAATTTTGGCCTGGCCTAAAGCTGTCCAACTCAGCAGCAGTGTGTGCCTTTCTCCAAGGTTTGTAGACAGTAAAGTGAATAAAATCATTCTGGTACATTCAAGGTCTCTTGAACTTATATCAGAGTTTAAATAGAAGGAGATCAAAAGTGCTGCAAGTCTATAAGACAATGGAATTCCACATATTTCGTGATAGGTAACATAAGATCATATAGCTTTGTAACATATGAGGACAAGTAGTCTACTGTCACTTGCAGGCTCTTATTAAAGCAATCCACAACTAATGTCTCCTAGTACTAAATTTTAATTTGCTTCAAATATTTAGCTATTTATGCTATATGGTAATAAAGCATCCTATACATCAAGAAGTTTCTGCACATTGGCATTTTTCTTTATATTTCCTCTTACTCTCTGTGACAACTTTAAATAGATGACATCCAATCAGAAGCAATGATTGTTTTTTTACTTCATGGTTTCCATAAATTTCATAATTTTGAAAACAAACTACTGCAACTCCTCAGACTGCTCTATTGTAGGGAGATCTTGTTCTTTCCTCACAAAAATATTTTTCTCAACTTTAGTATCAGGTTAGAAAGAAAAATATTGGAAACTGTGTGTGAGTACTTTCAGCACAAAGTACTCCCACAATCTTTTCAGCTCTTTAAATGTGAAGTTATTTAGGTCATTAAGTAAAAAAATAAAAATAACGATTATTGAATTTCCAAAATACTTCTACATTCTTACATAAGTGAAAGATTATGTTGACAATTACATTTCTCCAAGGCAAAAGTTATATTAATAAAAGGCAGTATGAAAACACCAACAGCAATTAACGCAACAGATTACAGTTTTGTTCTTGTCCCTGTTGACGAGTATGCTATTATTTTACTCAATCATTTTTTTCCAGGAATTGTCCCCATGTACTTGCATATGATGGACAGCATCACTTCATCTGCACCAGCTCCTATTGACATCAACCTCATATCCCTCAAGGAAAAAATGAGAAAACAAAATCAATTACTGACCTCACAGATATACAAATCTTTACACTTTAACTCTATTTAGGAAATAGCACACTGCAATTTCCAGCCATTTGTAGCAAAGTTTCAAGAGTATGTTACGTGCCCTGTACAGACAGATGCATTAAAAAAAAACAAATCACTCAAAGGAAAGACCCACATCTGGACAAGATTTCACTTTTTTTAAAAACATTTACTGTAACCAACCAACTAAAATCAACATAATTCAATCATTAATAAACAGGTGAAGGATATTTCAAATAAGAAAGGTAAAATGTGCTTTATATAGTCATTACAACAAAGATAGGTCTCATGTAGTTACAAGATCTCACAGCACTTCCCACTCAAGTGGGAGATTACTTTCCATTTCTCAGACTTTTCAACTCAGCCTTTGTATGAAAGGATTTCTTACTGACTATCTATGCGTATCATCCATTTAGTCACAACGACTGTATTGCATGCAAATTTCCTGGGGATGATTATCACTGACAGGGTGTACATCAACCTTTCTCAGTTGGATTAGAACCAGAACTCGAATCAAATGCATGCTGGTAACATTATTATGAACCACATTCAAACCTCTTGACGTAACTTGTACCCCTGCCCTCCCAACCCCGTTACAAATATAGTGTGTACATCAACTCAAAAAACACGTAACCTGGATATAATGAATTCTGGTAGTCTTTCCATCAGTACTATATTGTAAGATTATAGTTGAACTATCTGTTAACATTATGTGTGGTTTAAAGCTGTACAAAACACAGTACAACAGATAAAACAATGACAGAAAGTAATGGAAGCTGGTACTGTCTGTATTACTATTGCTTCTGAGATACAAGATTCCGGGTTCAAATCCCATTCCAGCACAGAATTAAGACTGACATTTCAGTGCAATACTAAGGGAGTGCTGCACTGTTGAAGTTGCCATCTTTTAGGTGAGATGTTAAACTTAAGACCTGTCTGCCCTTTCAGGTGGGAGATTACAACATTCCCTGACACAATCCCCTGCAACAGCTACTACAATTGCAACATACTTAATGGCTATGAGGTGCTTTGAGATGCCTGGTGGTTGCTGAAAACTCTATATAAATGCAAAGAAAAGCAAAATAATGAGGATGCTGGAAACCTGAAACAAACAAAGAGAATGCTGGAGAAACTCAACAGGTCTGGCAGCAACTCTGGAGAGAGAAAGAAAGTTAACATTCTGAATTCAGTTGACTTTTCTTCAGAAATCGGTTCTGTTTCACTTTACAGGCGTTACCAGCTCTGCTGAGTTTCTCCATCATTCTCTGTGTTCATTTTTGCACATATGCAAGTTTTTTTCCACCAATGCTGCAAAATCATCTGGGGATAATGTAATAAATTTCTAACAAATGTAGATGTAAAAGCAAAGGAACATACTGGTAATAGAATCAATTTCTTTTAGTCTCATGAAAATAAATAAACGGGTCCTTTAAAATACAGTTTAATTATGTAATATTAAAAGGAATTTCGCTCCTAGGTAAATGTCACTACTAAGTGGCGAGGGGCCTATTTGCATGTATTAACATCTCTTTAATTCATAATCTCATATCACATCAGGCCAGGCTCCACGTAACCACTTGCATCACTTGTCCATGATGATGGCATCAGACACATAGCAGCATCACCACATCAACATGGCACATCTCCAACTCACTTAGAGTACAGTACATTTTCTCTTTAAACTTTTAGTTACTTTTATTGTGAATTTGTACTTTAAAGAGCCCAAAGACTGGTCATAGAGCTGGATGACTTGGGCCGTCTTCTTCTCGTCTCCTCCCAGCTCAAAGCGCTTGCACCTCTTGCATTCTCTATGATCAATAATTAGACTCCACACATTACAGTCTCAGCACAATCCTCTTTGTGTTCTTATCCTTTTTTCAAATTATAGGCTTTGTATGTCCACCATAACCACTCTGCTTCCTGTCTTAACGCCTCTTAACCTGTGCATACGAGGAATTTTTTCCTTTCTTTCATTCAGTAACCTGACGTGGCTAGTGCATGTGACATTTCTTGCAGTATTTCCTCCGGATCTTTAGTACATTGACGATCTTGTCGTCTCAGTTCTGATCAAAGAGAGAAAGGGAGAGGGAAAGAAAGTGTGCGCTGATGTCACCACACAAAAGTTCATCACTTTAATTTGAACCATCATGACAAATTCATTGCAATGTTGCTGCTAGGCCACTTTGCAGTCAGGCTCAGGCATCCATCTCAAACATTGGAACATAGTGCATCTTAGGACACTTGTTCTCTCAGCGGTCACTCACTGTCTTTGAATCTACAACTCCACCTTGTCTTGCCTTTTTGTGCACTGCTGTCTCATTCAGAATGTATGTAGCTTTAAGCACAGTCACAGAGCTTAGCAGGTTGTCTGGTTCCCAGCAGTAATCAGTTAAGGGACAGTACATGGTGTTGTATTGAATCATGTTACATGTCACTTCTACAGCACGTGCAGCAGCTTACGCAGTAAATACATCATGTCCACAAGCAATCTTGAACATGCATGTGCATCAGCCAAATGGTCATATCTCAAAGTCTAAGCAGAATAGTCCTCAGTCAAATTAAGAGGGACTGTTGTCAGCCAAGGGGTCCAGCCACTGTCAGTCAAGGGCATCATCTGATCTTAGTCCAGGGACTTGGCCATGGTCAGTTAACATATTGAGGTGTCAGGGTCAGGGGTTCTGTATCATTGCAATTTGGGAAGTGGGCCACATTCAATCCCACAGGTCCATAAGACCTTAAGATATAGGAACAGAATTAGACCATTGGGCCCATTGAGTCTGCTCCACTATTTGATCATGGCCAATATGTTTCTCAATCCCTTTCTCCTGCCTTTTCCAGAACCTATCTATCTCTGTCTAAATATACTCAATGACATGGCCTCTACAGCCCTCCGTGGCCCCGAGTTCCACAGATTCACCACCCTCTAACTGAAGAAGTTCCTCCTTATCTCCTCAGGCCCAGTGCAGCTAGTCCAGGGATTAGTGGTACATCAGTTATGGAGGTGCACAGAGATCAGTCAGGGGTCTGGTCAATCACTGGTAAGGGCTGTTGGTCCATGTTAGTCAGGGTGTGGGGAGGTGGTGGGCAGCCATGGCCAGTTTGGAAGGTTTGTTCGCTGAAAATCGTGTTATGTTATCCCATTATTATTATACTGTTGAGCCAGTCAGTTAGGGAAGTCAATATTGGGAATTGGAGGCAGCATGTTGGGATGCAGAGGAGACAATAATTGCGAAGGGGGCAGCAACTCAACATACAAGTGAGTGAGACAATAACACTGGAGGACACACGTTACTGTGAGAGAGACTGGGTGTCATTAATAGTCACACTACCCTGGCTTTAATGGGGTGGAGGGTGGAACATAGCATCAAGATGGTTGGCATGACTAAAGAGTTGGGTGAGAATCTGCGCACACAGAGTAATGATAGGTTGACAGGACATGCAAAAAGAAAGGAACGTGAAGGCTTTAGTGGGGAAAGGGAGGATGACCTAGATTAAAAGACTGAACCTATGACTCACTGTGTGAAGCCTTCCATTCTCTACCATTCTCATCTGAATCAAAAATGCACAAAGTAAATTGAAAATGACTGTCACCACACCCAGAACAGGTAGGCAAGTAGCCTTCTTCTGTCTGAGATGTACAGTCTACTTGTGAAGCCCAACAAGGAATAATTCCATTAATCAGCACTACAGTTCAGGTTTAAAACGTCTGTCATCGTGGAATCCTGCATGTGAAGCACATGCAGTGACCAACTAAGTCAGATGAAAATCCTGGCCACAAGCAATCTTGAACATGTAATGCGTCATCACAAACTGATCCTAGTCATCTTTGTGAAACAGAAGTAACCACAGGTGACCTTAAAAGTATTGTAAGAACAGAAAGTGCTGGAAAAAATGGTGTCTTTGGGCCAAATGAGATCTGCCACATTTGCACTGAGCTTTGAACAACAGTTCAATTAATATAATTGACAACACTTTTCACAAGTGAATCTTCTAATGTTGTGTGACTGAATCAATAAGATGCCAACTTCATTAGATCCACTATTCACATGCACAAATGTGAGAAAGCATGAGTTTACATTTGAAGCCATGAGGAAACATGTCACTGCATTGGATTGTGTGCAGTGAATTTTGGTGCATCTGATTGGTCAGAGCACACATCTGTTAAAGAACCCATCCAATGTTCTTTCCATAATGGAAGGAAATGTGAGTGGGTTCCTTGAGAAACGTGCAAAATGATCTGTCTAAGATTTGATTATTCACCATACTTACACAGAATCAGAAAAATCTCCCTTATAAACCATTGTCAAATAATATAATTCAAAACCTTATTTAACCTCAGTTTGAAGTCTACTCACCTGTACAGTCTGCTGACCAACACTTCATTAGTAAAACCCATTCCTCCCCAGAACTGAAGACAGCTATCAGTTACCTCACGAACCAGGCGGGCTGCCTTCAACTTTGCCATTGAGGCTAATTTTGTTGTATCATTTCCTTGAACATACTGAGCTGAATGAAAAAAAGAAACTTAATTGCAACTTTATTTTAAAATCTTCTTTGAACAGGGTATTGGTAAGGCGGCACCTGGACTAACATGTACAATAAAAGAGATTCATTAGACTGATTCTTGGGATGAAGAGGTTAACTTGTCAAGACCAGTTAAATGGGTAAGGCCTTTAATAATTAAAGAATAAGGATTGATCTGCTTGAAATATACAAGGTTCAGAGAGAGCTTGACAGAGTAGATGCTGAGAAAATGTTTCCACTAGAAGGGGAATCTCAAACTTGGGGACAAAATTAAAAAATAAGGGGATACTAATTTAAAACAAACATAGAGAATACTGGAGAAACTCAGCAGGTCTGGCAGCATCTATGCAAACAGAAACAGAGTTAATTTTTCAAGTCCAAAATAACTCTTTTTTAAAACATTTATTTAAAACTGAGATGCGAAGAAATTTCTCCTCCCAGAGGTTAGTGAATGTTCAGAATTCTCTATGCCAGAGAGCTGTAGAAGCTAGATCACCTGAACTATTTAAAGAGGAGGTAGATAAAATTTTTGAAATGTCAGGGAGTTGACAGCTATGGTGAGTTGGCACAAAAGACAAGTTCAAGTCTGGGGCAGATGAGACGTGATCTTTTTGAATGGCAGGGAGGGATTGAAGGGCTGAACGGCCTACTCCTGCTCCTACATTTTATGATTTTACGTTCATATCTTTTAAAATCCTGCAGGGTAGGTCATCATGTTGAGGGGTTCCAGGTGTTTAGTTCCATTAATATTTTTCATTCTTTCACAGGATGAGGGTGTCACTGGCTTGGCCAGCATTGATTAATCATCCCCATTGCTCAGAAGGCAATTAAGAGTCAACCACATTGCTGTGGATCTGGAGTCAATTGTTGGCCAGAGCAGGTAAGGATATACCCTAAAGGAGATTAGTAAACCAGATGGGTTTTTTCAACAATCAAGGCCACACTTGGAATGCATGGTCATCACTAGACTCTTAATTCCAGATTTTTATTGAATTCAAATTCCACCATATGCTGTGGCAGGATTTGAACCTGGGTCCCCAGAACTTTACCTGGGTCTCTGGATTAACAATCCAGCAATAATACCACTAGGTCATTGCTTCCCCTTTTGACAGTACTATTTCTATGCTAATGAAAATTTCTTTATGTTCTTCAATAAACATTAAAAAAAAAGTTCCACTGTTCTCTTTAAGTAACAATCCTCTACACATATTATGGCAAAATATCAACACTGACTTACAGAAAAAGAATAATTTAAGAGGAATAGGCCCCAATTTTAATCCTTCGCACTGCATTACAAAATGAGACTAGCAGCATAGGTTAAATTAAGGGAACATCTTAAGTAACTGAATCCATCAATCTGCTACCTTTAACTAGGTTCTGATTTTAATTTGTTTATTTGGTCACTAAGAAATCTGGGTCTTCTCAAATATGAAACTCAGTTCCAACAATGACTCTGAACCTCTACTACTTACAGGTAGCATATCAGGCTGGATTCCAGCAGATTGCAATTAAAAGATATGACTCACTTATTTTGAAGGTGATTTAAATTATTAAAGTTCCATACCGACACAACGATAAAGGAGCGAACGAACAAGTTCAATCTCAGTTTCAAGTTCAGCAAGGCGGAAATGTACTGTCTGGTTGTGTAAGACTGGTTGATCAAAGACCTTACGTTGGCGTGTATATTCGATTGTTTCCTGTATGATGTTCTGCATGGGAGCCAGCACTGCAAAGACAGAAATAACATGCTTACACAACCGTTAGCAATATGCACAATGATCATGTACATTGGCACTCACAGTGGACTCATTCCAGAACACGATGAATGCCTCAGCAAATAGATATAGGCCTTTTAAGCTGGCACCTCAGCATTAGCCCTCCTTGGAATAGCTACCTCAAATGGTTGAAAACAGCATCTGTGGGCACTGACAGGTAAAAGACAGGAGCACGACATTAGGAAATCTCCCAACTCAAAGATGTAAATCCAGTTCATGCTGTTAAGGCTCTGCAGAGCCTGCTGCGCCTGAGGTCTGGGCCCAACTTGGCATTATTTGAACCAGCTATCTTAATAATATGTTTCAGGTCCCTTATTTACTTTCCATTGCTTCCACATTAGGTTTACTTTTAATGATCTAATTGCTAGGTTCACAAATAATCTAACGGATCACATTGAATGGCTATTTTGAGAGTTCAACATATTTATTAGTTAATATACGATTACCCTCACTCTTTATTCTTAATGTCCTCGCAGACTACTGACCCATTCCTGACCTCACTTTCCTCTAAAATCTTTGAATGTGTTGTCACCCAACAAATGTGTACTCATCTCTTCTGTGACTCCTTTGTTGAATCTTTCCAATCATGATTCAACCCCTACATCATCACAATGGTCCTATCCAAGGTCATACATGGCATTCTCTGTTACTGTGATAGATCATCTGCCTACCACTTTTTGTTTAGTCTTCGGTCCACCTTTTCACTATCCTAATATGCTACTTCCCTCTTGACCAGTTCAGCTGGCATGCACTTATTTAATTCCATACTTAACTATCCAATCAAAGTTACAGCATCACCTGCAATGGTTTCTGTACAAGCCTTCTGCTGTTATCTCTGGAGTCCCCCAAGAACCTATCTTTGGCTCCTTCTTCTCCATCTTTATGCACTTCCTTGGGATAGCATCTTCAGTATATATGTTGACAACAGCTATTTCTACTATGCTCTACTGCTCCATGGCCTCTACATCAAGTTGCTTGACCAAAATCCAATCTTGGATAATTATTTTCAGATAAACAATGGGGAGAATGAAGCCATTGCTTGTACCAGAAATTCTGTACCTTAATGCCAATTTTAGTCTCTTTCCTGTTAATGTCAAAGATTGAATTAGACTGTTTGCAACCTGTGTTCCATTCAACATCCACCTTTTCTCTGCTTTAGAGGGACCATAATGCTGAAATTTTAATGTTATTTTCTAATTTATACCTAAGATTTTGTACCAAGCATCTTTGTACCAAAGGTGATGCCAGAAACGGTGACTTTGTACACTTCTCACTGTACTCAGTGTACACAGTATCACTAAGAGTAACCATTGCACAGTCCTTGTGGAGATAAAGTCCCGCCTTCACACTGACAATAACATCCATCGTGTTGTGTGGCACAATTACTGTGCTAAACGGGACAGACTTTGCACAGATCTAGCAACTCAAAACTGGGCATCCTTGAGGCTCTGTGGGCCATCAATAGCAGCAGAATTGTACTCCAGCACAATGTGCAACCTCGTGGCCTGGCATATCCCCCACTTAGCCATTACAATTAGGCTAGGGAGTCAACCCTGGTTCAATGGAGAATGCAGGAGGCCATGCCAGGAGCACCACCAGGCATACCCGATGATGAGGTATCAAACTGGTGAAGCCACCAAACAGACTACTTGCACGCCAAACAGCAAAAGCAGCAAGTGATAGACAGAGCTAAGCGATCCCACAACCAACACATCAGCTCTAAGCTCTGCAGTCCTGCCACATCCAGTCATGAATGGTGGTGGACAATTAAACAACTCACTGGAGAAGGAGGCTCCACAAATATCCCCATCCTCAATGATGGAAGAGCCCAGCACATCAGTGCAAAAAATGAGGCTGAAGCATTCGCAGCAATCTTCAGATAGAAGTGCCGAGCGGATGATCCATCTCGGCCTCCTCCAGTGGTCCCCAGCATTACAGATACCAGTCTTCAGCCAATTCGATTCACTCCATCAAGAAACGCTTGGAAACACTGGACACTGTAAAGACAATGGGCCCTGACAATATTCGAGCAATAATACTGAAGACTTGTGCTCCAGAACTTGCCGCTCCTACCCAAGCTATTCCAGTACAGTTACAACACCAGTATCTACCCAACAATGTGGAAAATTGCCCAAGTATGTCCTGTACATGAAAAGCAGGACAAATCCAACCCAGCCAATCAGCACCCCATCAGTCTCCTCTCGATCATCAGTAAAGTGATGGAAGGTGTCATCAACAGTGCTATCAAACAGCACTTGCTCAGAAATAACCTGCTCAGTCAGTTTGGGTTCCTCCAGGGCCACTCAGCTCCTGACCTCATTACAGCCTTGGTTCAAACATGGACAAAAGAGCTAAATGCCAGAGGTGAGGTGACAGTGATAGCCCTTGACATCAAGGCTGCATTCGACTGAGTGTGGCATCAAGGAGTCCTAGCAAACCTGGAATCAATCGGTATCAGTGGCAAACTCTCTGGTGGCTGGAGTCATACCTGACACATAGGAAGATGGTTGTGGTTGTTGGAGGTCAATCATCTCAGCTCCAGAATATCTCTGCAGGAGTTCCTCAGGGTAGTGTCCTCAGCCCAACCATCTTCAGTTACTTCATCAGTAACGTCCACTCCATCATAAGGTCAGAAGTGGGAATGTTCGCCGATGATTGCACAATGTTCAGCACCATTCGTGACTCCTCAGATACTGAAGCAGTCCATGTTCAAATGCAACAAGATCTGGACAATATCCAGGCTTGGGCTGACAAGTGGCAAGTGACATTCGTGCCACACAAATGCCAGGCTACGACCATCATCCATAAGAGACAATCTAACCACTGTCCCTTGACATCACTGAATTCCCCACTATCAACATCCTGGGTATTATCATTGACCAGAAACTCAACTGGACTCACCACATTAACACAGTGGCTACAAGAGCAGGCCAGAAGCTGGGAATACTGCAGCGAGTAACTCATCTCCTGACTTCTCAAAGCTTGTCCACCATCTACAAGGCACAAGTCAGGAGTGTGATGGAATACTCCCCACTTTCCTGGATGAGTGCAGCCCCAACAACACTCAAGAAGCTTGACGCCATCCAGGACAAAACAGCCCGCTTGATTGGCACTACATCCATAAGCATCGAATCCCTCCACCACTGACGCTCAGTAGCAGCAGTGTGTACTACCTACAAGATGCACTGCAGAAATTCACTAAAGATCCTCAGACAGCACCTTCCAAACTCACGACCACTTCCAACTAGAAGAACAAGGGCATCTGACATATGGAAACACCACCACTTCCAAGTTCCCATCCAAGCCACTCACCATCCTGACTTGGAAATATATCACTGTTCCTTCACTGTTTTCTTCACTTAGAATCACTACAGTGTGGAACCAGGCCCTTCGGCCCAACAAGTCCACATCGACCCTTGGAGCATCCCACCCAGACCCATCCCCTTATAACTAACCTAAGCTACACGCTGCTGGGTCAAAATCCTGGAATTCCCTCCCTTACAGCATTGTGGGTTAACCCACGGCAGGAGGACTGCAGCGGTTCAAGAAGGCAGCTCACCACCACCTTCTCAAGGGCAAGTAGGGATGGCAAGAAATATTGGCCTTTCAGCGACGCCCACATCCCATAAAATGAATCGAAATAAAAACTCATGTTTCCGTTACTTGAGTTCACGTGACAATAAAACCTAATTCTAATTCTAACTCCACAACCTCTTCATCACAAAGACCATCTAATCCAACCTGTAGCATCTCAGTGTGTTGGAATGTTCTGAGATTGGGAAAGGCATTAAGTAAGCACAATTCTTTCTCTTACTTGCTTTGCTTTTCACTTTTCTTTTACTCATAGAAATTCACATCTGTTTAGAAAGAGACCTACCGCATTTGAAAACACATTTGTTTTGGATATTCAAAAATATGTAATAAAAGATGTTCTGTTATTCCTCAACTGCAGCATTCCTCCATCATTTTGCCACTCTGTTTTTTCATTGCTCTATTATAGACTTAAGAGATAGATACTGTAAATATAATTGACACAGAGTCAGCCAATCTGTTGGAGAATGAGTGGGAAACCTGTGTTGCTTCTGGGAGTTCATGACCTGATTGGATAAAGTGTCTATTGGAACCACAGCTGGCCAGAGATCAGCTTGCCCTGCAAATTAGGACTCCAAGTGTGGAAATCCCATCCAACAACTCTCCTTTACAGACAACACCACCAATACTGGTGGTACTGCAGGTAACGTAACCAGGGAGAGGACTATGATTGCTGAAGAAATCAGGCCACTAGTGATAGAGGCGGTATTGGGGGCAGGGGAAAGGAGTCGTGGCAGAGGACATAGGGGCTTGAAGACAAGGGAAGGATGCTTTGATCGGCCACTGGTTCCTTGATCAAGCAGTGAGTGTTTTTGGAAGAGCAGGGCATCTCTAGAAGGCTGCAGGCAAAATGCAGCCTTTTAGAGACAAGGGAAAACTGTACCACTAAATGTAATTCCTGAGACATCACTAATTTTCCAGCACTGGGAGACTGACACGATTGAGTAGCCCATTGTCATCATGCTTCCTGCTGGGACATGCCGCATTGAGTGCAGCCCCTGGTTTTTAGATTCGCTGAGCCTCACTGTATTAGCTTAAGCACTGTTTAGGCTTTTGCCTAACTCATGTTCATGCACAGTAGAAAGAACATACTTCCTGCAACTGCCCACATGCGCTCCTCCTGGAATTGCAACATCTGATAGGTGAAACCCATTCCTTCTTCACCGATGAGATATTTTCTTGGAACCCTAACATCTTCAAAAAAGATCTGTGCTGTATCTGAGGACCTCATGCCCAACTTATCAATCTTTTTAGCCACATGGATTCCTGAAAATGTAATTCATATGGTTAGTTAATCGAACAGCATTTTGAATTAAATTTCCTATTCTCATTAGAAATATTTCCTTCATAAAATTTGTACTGGAGGTTGGTCTACCATCAGACAAAAACAATAACGCTCAGCAGGTCTGGCAGCATCTGTGAAGAAAACATCAGAATTAACGTTTCAGGTCTGGTGACCCTTCCTCAGAACTGAGGAAGTTCTGAGGAAGGGTCACTGGACCCGAAACGTTAACTCTGATTTTTTCTTCACAGATGCTGCCAGACCTGCTGAGTTTTTCCAGCAACTTCTGTTTCTGTTCCTGATTTACAGCATCTGTGGTTCTTTCGGTTTTTTTAAAGAACAATAAGGCTGTGGCTTCCGAGTCCTACTTTAAGTATAAAGATATAACATAAGCTGACAATTCAGCATTTCAGTGCAGTGTAGGAGAATGCAACATTATTAGTGTTGTTGGCTATTGAATAATGAGGCTTCATTATTGCAAAATAATGGTGAATGCAAAAGATACCATAGAGCACCCTAAACAGCAAGGGACTCAATCAATGCCAAAGCTATTCCAAAGTAGTTAGTAGTATGACATGTTGTGACAGAAAAAGGAGTCAATGGAAGGCTGAATGCGGAATTAAGTTCAATGCACATGCTTAAACTGCAAAAGCAGCAAATATAGATTACAGGGTTAGAACTTGCCACGAACATATCACGTCCTATTGCAAATTTTGGGAAAGGGTGACTTTGGGAGTCTTCGAGTAAAAATCTTTGTGACGACGTGGATAGGTAATTCAGTGGATACATTTAATATAAGGAAATGTGCAATTTTTGGAAACATTTGTTTTAAACATTAGCATTTTCAGTTGGCGAGGATAAAAATACTAAAATGAAAAATATTTTCCAAAAACATTTTGAGTGATTTACAGCTACGTTGTGCACAATCTTAGGATAATTTATTTTCTACAAAAATAGCAGCTGTGAGATATCACATGGATGGCATGACTCATTACATTGAAATCCCCAACAGAATGCCACATACTAGAATGACAGGCAAGTATCTATGATAGGAATTCAAGTAAGCTCACCTCAAATGTTCCATTTAATTTATAGCAGGTGGTTCAAATGTATAAATATTCTGCAAATAAGGAAAACTTAACAGGCTGAATTCATACTGAATGTGCAGGAGTCTAATGCTTCACAGAGCTCCTCTGATGTCTATTTATTAGTTAGCAGATATGAAAGTAGGTTCTTCCATCTACCTCTCAGGTCAGCCTATTTTATGTTCACGCTAATTCTTACCTGGTAATTTCATCGGCAGACATATGAGAGACTTGCTTTTGTGAAGAGGACCATCACTAGTGTTTGCCAGAAGACACATCCAGTCAGCTTGACAACCATTAGTTATCCACATCTTCCCTCCGTTTATTATGTAGTCATCTCCATGCTTCACAGCTTTGGTCTTGATATCTATAAAAATAGGTCATTTTTTTCAAGATATAAAGCATAATATTATACCCACTAATCATATAGATCCAAAACCTTTCTGAATTTAAAATGCTCCTTTATATTTTAGCTTTTTCTCCCTAACTGAAAAAAAACAAAAATCCCAGTCACATCTTAGTAGATGACTCTCGGAAAATTTTGGATTCAGTAGCAAAGCTGTTAATTACTTATCTAAGAGATAGTAAGAACTGCCGATGCTGGAGTCAGCGATAACACAGAGTGGAGCTGGAGGAATAAAGCAGGCCAGGCAGCATCAGAGGAGCAGGAAAGTTAACATTTCTGTCTCACTGCTCCAGCAGAAAATGTTTATTTTCACATGATGTGCAATAAAACTGAAATCAATGCTAATATTATAGTAGTAAATCTATTGTGATATCAAGAGTAACTGTGCTGGTATTCTGTTAAACTTAAGAAAAAACAAAATGTTTCAAATATGCTGAACTAAAAGTAATACTTCCATTTGCCCCATTTAAACCCTAATTTTAATTCATTCCTATTCTCCATCTAGCTAAGTTTTACTTTGTTTCCACTTACTCAAGTTGAAGGACCAATTTTAACCTTGCCTGTCCAGGAAAACTACATTGATATAGGTCTTGGGAATTATGCCAATCGTAAACAAGTGGTAGCCATTTTCACATGTAAATATAGATGTCTCATGATGCAATTAGGATTCTGACACCATTTTTAACCCCAGATTTTGCAAGACATAATGCGGAATGTGACCATGGTATTATTGTAAGCTGTAACATAGCCTGAAAAAGCCTGGATAAGTGTGAATTTTTAAACCTTTTTAATGTTTCCACAAGGGGCCAGAAAAAACAGAATTCTTCAGGGCAAACAGTGAAACCTTGAGTCTCAGAGCCCTGTCCTTTCTTACTCCAACAACCAAATTGTAATCAAGTCTGGAACTCTACTGGGTGCAGTTGCTGCCATGAGATTTCCGAACAGTTGGTGCCCCAAATCAATATTGGAGCTTAAGTTTCAAATTTCACCTTCCTGAGACGAAACTATTCATCCTGGTGGTGATTAAATGTTCGTAATCAGCATTTTCATGAAGTTGAACAATTGTTTTTGAATCTTGTTCCACAATGATTTTAATCACTTTTGCATTAACAAATTAGAAAAATAACTGCAGAATAAATAAGAGTTCAAAACTCTCCAGTTTCAAACTGTTCAGATATCTAACAGTCGCGACACTTGGGGCAAGGGCCTGAGAATTGGTTACATTTTGTAACGGTAATACATTTATGCTCAGAGTGTAGCTCTTCTTATTTTTTTTTCCTTTTTTATTGTAATTCTGTTCAACATTTTTGATCTACCCCATCCTTTATTCTAGCCTATTTGTTTTAAAGTAAAATATTCCGCTATATTCAAATTTTTTATCCTGTAATCCCATCTCTTTTTTGGTGGTCAACATTTACCTGAAACCTCTTTGAAGCCCCATTTCTCAGCCAATTGATCCTTGTGTGGCGCAGTGGTAGTGTCCCTAACCCTGGATTGGGAGGTCAAGGTTCAAGTCCAATCACTCCAGAGGTGTGTAACAACATCTCTGAACAGGTTGATTAGAAAGATGGGTTAAATTAGAAAAAATTGGACACCCAGATTTTAAAAGCTGACATTGTGACAATTTATACTCAATCAGTACATCATTATTAGAAAAAAAGTATCAAAATTAGCAGCTTCCTGCCATTGACAAAGAAAAAGCTGGTCTAAGAATTCAGAAGTACCCTGACATACAAAGAGTGAGAGGTCTGATTTTCTATGTGCCATTCAGCCTGCTTTTGGAAATGGATGTATCTGTTAGAATTTAAAATACTGCTCATTGATATTATTAAATTTGTAAAATAATATGCTTAATCCTTATTCTACAATGCTTTAAAATGATTATCAAATTGTCTGCACAGACTTATGTTTAGTATCTAGTTTACTAAGATATCTTATGTACTTGCAACATCCGATCCAGCTTCAATTTCACTGACTCCTAAACAGGCTACCATGTCCCCAGCAATGGTAGGTGTGAGGAACTGGCGTTTCAGTTCATCTGAACCAAATCTGGGAAAGAAATAACACCAAATTTGAATGATTGTTATTCTTTCCTTATATTTGACCAACATTTTACGATAAATATACAAATAGTCATTTGAACTACTGAAAAAAAGACAGCATGTCGAAGCTTTTCATCTTGCATTCATCAAGATAATTTAAAAGAATAGTAATAAAAGGAAAAACATTTATACTGTATGAGAAGAGAGTGCTGATTGGTTGGTAAGTTGTCTCTGACTGGTAAAGGTGTTGCCACGAACAATGCAGCAGTTAGTGATGATTTACTGAACAGTCAAACTCCTAGATTTCAAACCAGGGAGGTTGACTCTGATTTATCAGGGCACTGCCCTGTGAAATATACCGGTGAAAGGCATGTATTTTGTGGAGTGGATGTAGGCACAGAGTGCACAAGATCCTTCTGTCTACAAACAACATGGCTCTATGCAGTAATATTTGCAATTTTCAGTACATGCAAGTGTGCCACACTTGTAATTCTAAATAGGTTATTAGTGCAATTATTCACACACTTCGAATTATCCAGCAAATAGTGTTCAATAGCAGAATCACATCTGGTATTAGACAGTACGTTGAGCGTTTTGCAATGTGTGGCCTGATTGGGTGCAGTCAGTTGTACTGCATGTTGTGAACAGCCAAAGGGACATGCTGTTTGATAGGATCTGGCAATCTCTGAGCCTACATACCTTACATCACACCAGCACTGAAATTTATTTACCACATTACACATTTGTGCACTAGGCAGAACATCTTTTTGGCTTGACTGTAGCATCCTTTAAGTGGCAAATATTGTGTTGCTACTACTATACATACTAGTAACTGTGAAACACACAGCTTAACCTGTTGTTCAAACCTTTGCGATATCTTAGCCTTCAAGGTAACCAAAGGTAGATTTTCCAGGATCAAATGATCACCTTAGGGCCTTTCATGTGTTTGTGTGATATACAGCAAGAAATCATCTGATTAGCATATCTTCATCCTGCAGTATGGCTTTGACAAATCTCATTTCACCATCTAAATTATCCTGTGAACAAATGGCTTGAACCTATCAATGAAGTTGCTGATAAGGCCAATCATATAAGCTATATTTTTTCTTTAGTAACGATATATGGTTGAGAAACTTGATGGAAGGTAAATAAATGAATGTGTTCATTGGCCAGAAACCGTCAATAGACATGTTTTTACATGTTCATCAAGACTATTACATATTTTTTCCATGGGATTTAGCAAGAATCTATTTTCAAATGATGAATGACCGGGTTTTTTTTTTTAATCTTTAATAAACACATCTATTGATAGGATGAATCATCCAAAACAATTTCAGCTCTGACATTTTCTGGCCTCCTGCTCTTCTGGTGGAAATGCAATAGGGCAGGACCTCCAGCTGTCTCCACAGATAGATAATGATCCTGCCTGAAATCCTGGACTTGGCTCATTTGAATATCAACAGGGCAAGACATAGACATAAACTGCTTCATAGAACAAAAGCAGTTCCAGAAAATTCAAGAAGAGGCCGAAACAGGGCAAAGTTCAAAGTGTAAAGTGACATTTAAAAGATTGCAGCAACATTGAGAAGGCACAGAGATGGCATCTACAGAGCCAAAAAGATAACAGCAGGAAATCTGGGTTTAAGGTGTCCGAAAAAAATGGTTAAATAAATGAAAATTGCAGTAATAAAATGAGAAAGCACTGGAGAAACTCAGCAGAATCTGTGGAGAAAGAGAAGCAGAGTTAATGGTTCAAGTCCAATGACTTTTCTTTGGAAAACTGAACTCCTGCCTGGAACAGCAAATTCACTTTAAACTGCAACAGTTAATCCAATCCATAACATTCTATTTACTTCTTTGTCCAATTCACAACTTCTTTAACTGGCTTACAGTCCTGAACCTTGGTAGATCACATACAATTACTCAACTTTGACAGGTCACAGTTACATTCATTCACCAACTAAATTATTTTCTTCACTAATGTTTAGAGATGAGTTGCAGTCGGAAAGGCCTGTAGTTTAAATGTTGCAAAATGAGTCATTAACATAGAGATAACGGAAGATTGTGATGAGACAGAGGACGGAGGATAGAGGGGCTAACCCAGAAGGAATGTGCAAACGGCGAATGCAGGTCCAACTCATCTCATATACCTTAAGACGCATCTCCAGTATGACCAGCATGTCCATTTTCAAGCATTATGGCTTTTTTAAACCTTTGGATGAGAACTATACATCTGGATACGTACATATTTTAAGTATGATGAAAGGGAGTAGGGGAAAAATGGGACTGGACAAATTCTGCTTAAAGTTCTAGTTTTCAGGCTATTGATCAGGAGGCATGAGATCATTCTTATGTCAAAGATTCAATGTGACAGTCTAGAGGGTGAATGTGGATGAACTGCAGCAGGAAATATGGAACAGGATGTTACAACTTCTATCCATTAACTGGGCTAATCCTCGCTTTTGATTCCGTTCTTCTCGGCTTCAATCCCCACCAAACCATGACAGTTTAATTTCTCTAAACCTAAACCTGAACAAAATTTGGTAACTATTTTCACTTTTCTTTAGGGAATTCACTTCATTCCTTCTCAAACAAGGAAGCTGAAAACTCATGTTTATGTGATGCTGTGCAGTCAACTTATTTTGTAGTTTAACTCATCTGAGATTTACTATCAAATCGAAAAAATTGGCTTCTTATTGTGTCTGATCCATACCTGCAACAATTTCTGCAGCTCACTGTATAAATGCCAGTCATAAGAATTCTTCACAGATTTTTAATGCTTTCCTTATCCCCTTTCTTGAATTCTGTATTTATTCTTTCAGTCGCTGTTTCTTTTGCTCTTTAACTTCCTCTGCATGTTAGCTGTTTAGGGAGATGTGGCTCATATTAGAAATTGTACCTCTTAACTGTATTTTATGCCTGGGCCATGTTTGAAAGTGTTGGGTTTAACCCCCATTCAAGGACCATGATGTGAAGGTGCCGGTGTTGGACTGGCTTGGACAATGTCAGAAATCACACTAAACTAGGTTATAGTCCAACAGGTTTACTTGAAAACACAAGCTTTCAGAGCCTCTCTCCTCCCTTAGGTGTTACTGTGACAGTGTCAGACACAGAAGATATAAAAGATCAAACAGTCATACCACTAATCAGGATTTATTAAACAAACCTAAGATGCTATTAAATCTTTGATCAGTTAGAAGGTTTTAATTGATCAATATGTATTTGTAAATCCCCGAATTCCTTTCAAGTCACTGTCCTGAGAGAACTAAAGGTTTTATCAGTGTAAAGAAGAGGTGACATTTTAGGTCAAACGATGCATGTTAGGTGAGAGGCCTTGTTTAGAATCTGTTTGTGTTTTGGTTTGGAGTTAGACTGGTTTTGCTTCTGAAGTAGGAATTTATAAAATGCCACATTGACTGACTGTCTATAAATTGTGTGTTTTTTGAACAAAAGAGAATGTATCTGCAAAGACACATTTACCCCATAGATTCATGTGTGTGTGGGAGGGGTGGAGAGAGAGAGCGTGCGTGTGTTGTGGGGGGGGGGAGTGTGTTTGCATGAGTGTGTGTGTGGGAGAGAGAGGGCACGCAAGAGGGAGTGTGTTTGCGTAAGTGTGTTTGCGTGAGTGAGTGTGTGGAGTGAGCGTGTGTGTGCGTGGGAGATTGTGTGTATGTGTGTGTGTGTGAGGGAGAGAGAGAGGGTGCGCGTGAGAAGGAGTGTGTTTGTGTGAGTGAGTGTGTGGAGTGAGAGATAGTGTGTGTGTGTGTGTGTGTGTGTGTGCGTGCATGCAGGAGAGAGAGAGATAGAGCGTGTGTGTGTGTGTGTGTGTGTGT